GTGGAGGGGGACCATCGACGTTGGTCGTCCCCCATCGGCGTCGATTCGTGTACGGTCATCGCTGGGTGATTGGGTTCTGGTGGTTGATCATCTCGCGACTCGAAATTGACCAGCTGCCCCTACACTGCCACTGGCCAGACAAGGTGACCCCGTTCGGGAACCGGCCAGCGGTCTGGAGTCGGCGTAGAACGCACGCAGGCGTGACCACCAAAGGACCAGACAGGTATCTGCACCGGCTCTGCAGGCTCTGCGAAGTCATGATGGGACGAAGCTCGGGCTTCAGGGGAGCCTTGCAAGCCTGGGAAAGTCGCTGTGAGGCAAATTGGGACGAGTCAAGGACGGCTAGAAGGGGTATGACCGCTGATGTTGATCGTCCCAGGACGCTACCTCGACCTTCCCTTTCGATTGTCTGGGGCGATTGGGTGCCGTCCACTGCAGCGTCGTGCTAGCGGCCAGCCCGGTTTGTTTTGCGGCCTGGCGGGGGGGGGGCGACCCGTTGGTCATGCATAAAAAAGCCGGCCCGGCTGAGAGGTGAGTGGCCTGCATAAGGCCGCTCGCCATGTGTCGCTGCAAGCAAGAGGAGGCCTGGCCCGGCTGGCGATGACCAAGCCTGAGGTAGGCCGAACAAGAGGTACGAGGGTCGTTGATTTTAAGGTATAAGGTTGAGAACTTGATCGGAATGTGGCCCCTGAGGCTACCCTGGTAGTGCCATCGTCTGAAGGGAGAGAATTGAACGGAATGCCGTATGCCACGTTGCCACCCGCATTCATGGCATCGCTGGAATGGAATTCAACGTCCTTCGATTGATTTGGGGGGGTTTGCTCGATGGGTAGAGCTCGATGGGTCGAGGCCAAGACGAAAGATGAGGACAGTATCGACAACTGGGCCGAACTTGCCCTGCAAGCTCAGCTGGTCCCCCCGTGCGTGCGAGGCAGTTGTGCTTGCACAAAACAAGGCCGAATGGCAGGCACAAGGGGAACGGCGCTACTGCAGGAACAGACCGGCGTCCTTCCTCCATCTCCACAACTGACCTCCAAAGGGAAGGACCGTCTGATGGCAATCCTGCCTTGCCTGCCAGCCTGCGTCGCATTGTTCCAGCGTCTACCCCTGGATCGACGCTCCAACGTCAGTTCATCCCTTTTCCCTCTCTTCTTCCTTCTCCCGGCGATTTGTCCACAGAGACACGCTCGGCGATACTGACAAGGGCCACATGGCCATGGAGGCCCCCCCCCCCCCTCCCTAATTCTGTCGCCATCGTTATCTTCCAGAATGGGCACCATCTAGAAGACTTCATTACTGAATACGGAGGGATCGCCCAAGGCAATCCCAATTCTCGAAAATAGCGCCGTGATCCCCATCTTCTCACAACTTAGTTCTGTGAGCCGCGTCGGCGCCTTCAGCTTCCGCCAGGCGATCAGTCAAACCAGCGCACGTTGCCGCCCTGTACTTGTCCGTTTGTCGCTTCTCCCCTGGAATGTGGACCGTGGACTGGACCATGGCCCGTGGCCGGTAGCCGCAGATTATGTGCAATAGGCCAGTGCCGCCAACCTAGACAGGCCGGGCGGCAAATCCCACGGACGTTATCGAAGCGAATCTCGACGCGCCATGGCGCTGTCCAAGCGAAAAGTAGCCTTGTGTGTTCTGGACCGTTGCCCACTGCACTCCGTCACGAACCATCACATTTAGCGCCCCGAATCCGAGCCTTTCCACCTCTTCAATGCCTCGTGCCTGGCGTCCAACCTCTGCGCAGCGAAATCGCCACCCCGTCTTCTTTCCGCCACGACCGTCAGTTGTCTCGCTAACCTACTGATGACTTGCCAATGACAGAGCGGTGAACGCATCCTCGGAACAACACTACTCTTCTCCGAGTCAGATATCCCTTGCTATGCCCTCCCCACTCGCATAGTCCGACAGTTTCACCATTGGCAAAGGGCGCATAAGATCGTCTTCACAGCCTCAGCCTTGTTCAGCTCTCCCTATCATGACGTCAATTCTGATTGTGACAGCAAACATGCATGAACGTCAAGCGGCGTGGAGGGCCCTTTCCTTGGCGATCATTAATTGTCTGTGTGGCCGATGGAAAGAAGGTGGGACGACTCGGGCCCGTCATCTGTGGCCCTTGTCGGCATTAGAAGGTCTACCATCCGCGGGCCTCTCCGCAACTGTTTCTCACAGACTCGGGATCCTGCTTGCAAGGGTGCTTTCATAGCACTCAGCAAAAGGGGCTGCTCTGCTCCCGCATCAGGCCCTGTATGCGTACCACTCCAACGTCGCAATACCAAGCGATTGCACAGCGACCGCAATAACGTTAAGCTCTTGAGACGAGCTTTGCATGGGCCTCCAGCACTCGGTCCAGCACACTCCCGTTGCCCAGCCGAAATCGAGATTCGCAGCGTGGGTCCGATCGAGGGAGGCGGTCCTCTTGGATTGGTGGCAGATTGAAGAGACCTAGGGGGAAACGGGGAAATCTGTTATTGGATACGGTCGGCTCATTCTGCTCCCAGTAGAAGTGAACAGTTTATGTCCAGACAGCTCCCCACAGACGATACGAGACTCCAATTTCGGACAATTTCAAACGGAAGGGCTCAATTTGGTGTTCCCCGCAAAAGGAGACCAAGTCTGACGGTACTGCGGCCCTATCTCTGCACAGCGTGGTAGGATGACGGACCAAGTCTGACTGCCCTGGACGCTGCGGGAGCCAAGTTGCCAAGCAAAGAAAGTCCAGTGGAGAACCGACGAAAAGACTGCCGGGCTCAGGGGCTTGCAGCTGTGGGCTTTCACCGACCTGGCCTCGGCGGGCTGGAGGCATTGGGGTAGATAACGACGAGGGTGCGCCCATCTCGCACTGGTGTACAGGTAATAAGCATGGTGACTCGAATCTCTCTTCTCGCTTTTGCCGTCGCCATATGGAAGTCGGCACACCGAACTTGCTGAAGAGCTCGGACCATACAGAGGCGCGACCAGTCCAGAATTAGCCTCTCAAATCATGGCGATGGCCTGTGCTGACTACATTTGTAGAGTTTCGCCAGAAGCAAAATGCCAGGCAACACGATGCTGATGGCGATTGTTCCTCGTCGCCAACCACCCTGACCAGGGTGACGTGCTGGCCGGTGCACTGCAAATTCCGAGCTTCATGCCCGCCTCGAAACGGCCGAAAGAGCCGACAGGGCAGGACATCTGTGATACCAAAGGGCATGACGAGGATTCGAGTTGGAAGCACATGTGTCGATGGTCAAGTCGCATCGACCGCGACCAATAAACCTACGTTGTCGAAAAGTCGAGCTGGCTGGATTCGACGAAGGGGCCTCACGATGGGTTGCTGGAGGACGGTTGCGGCGTTGCAAATGGCCGGTCTGGTCATTCGATACCAATGTCGAGTTCACCGCCCATCCAGGGAGCTGAGACAGGATGGTCAGCACTGTGGGTGCATCAAAGAGCCGAAGCCACGTTGCCCTGTCCAGTTCCTGTCACTGAAGCGATTCCGCAGCTTGGCGATGAGCACATTGACGGATCCGCAATGCTGTTCTGTGCCGGCTCCGTACCCTTTCCATGCACTCGGGAGGAGATGCAGATTGAGGCACATGGTCAAGAAGGGTGTTTAAGGCTGCAATCAGGTGAGGGATGCCCGTCGACCTTCAATAGCCCTCGCCCGATTGCAGCCTTAGAGAAACCACGATCGCAAGCAACAACCCGAAGATTTGTTTGTTGTCGAGGCGTGCTGGGTCAAATGGTCGCTTCGAGGAAGCGGAGAGTCAGTACAACGAAGCGGTGAGAAGAGGGATCCCTTTTTGACCTTGCTGGGGAAGAAAGGATTTTTAGTAGATGGTGGAAGCTGTGCTGGCAGAAAGACTAGGCAATGCCAGCCATTTGGTCACCATGCATTTGGTCATCATGCTTTGCGGAAGCTCATGGTTCTTCGTAGATAATAAGGGGCGCAAGTGTAGTGAGTGCCATTGTGAAGCCATCGAGACGCGACGACAGTGCAGTACGACAGGACCTGCACACGCCGCACTGTTATGAGGGGCAGCTTCCCCCCCAACCCCCAACCCGACGATTTGCCGACCGATAACGACACTACGGGCTTTGGGCAACAGCGATTCCACACCGCACTCCCAAGACCCCACATTCTGTGTGTTGTGCACGAGACTGCTCCGACTTTTGAAAATCAACTGGCCCTCCTGTCCTCCACTGCACATCACCTGCATGACGAAGACCCGGAAGCCTGACCAAGATACCCATTCCCCCGACACGTTATCGCTATTCTACTTGTTCTTCGCTGACGAGGCACTCTACGCACACTCACGCTCACTCGACTTTGATCCTTTGTCCAGCCCTCAACATCGTCCTGCCCTTTACCCCGCCACCAACCACCGCCCACCTCGAGCTGGGCCTCTGACTCCCAAATTCCCAACCGAACCCCTCCTGCCCCCCTCCAACAGCCAGCCAAACGAAAAACAAACCCCTCGACTCGACCCTGTAATGGCGTTCGAGTAGCTTCCTCGTCGCTTCCTCTCGTCAACTATGCCGCATGCACGGCTTCATCAGCTGCCAGGTCAATAGCAGCTTCAAAAGCAACCAGCGACCCACCCCCGCCTCATCCCGCTCTTCGCGCATCAGCAACACAACACGCATCTCAATATGGAGGCTCAGGTACGTTTCCATGCGTTTATATCAGCTTCTCCTTCGCTAGCCTCGCCAACGTCATCAGCCGCTTGCTGTATTCTTTGAAGGCACGGCAGACTAGACTCTGCTCCAAGGACACCTCCAACTCGCCAGCAGAGACTCAGTAGTGATACTTCAAGTGCTAACAGATTGCCTCCCTACAGATCGAGAATGCGGTCGAAATCGCGTGGAGCCCCACTTCGGACCAGGTTCTGAAGGGACAGGCTTTCGAATTTCTTAACCAGCTGCGAACCGATCCCCAGGGTTGGCAAGCCAGCGCCAACCTCTTCGCCCGAACGCCCAGGACCTCCGAGGTCGTGCGCATGGTCTGCTTGGAAATTGTCAACAATGCGGTGCACACCCAGGGGCTCGACAGCGCCAGCCTCTCGTTCCTCAAGCAGACCCTCCTCGAATACGTTCGCCAGGTCTACGGCCAGGATCGTCAGGACCAGGTCGACCCACCCTCTCTGCAGAACAAGCTCGCTCAGACTCTGACGTATCTCTTTGTTTTTCTCTATGCCGACGGCTGGGAGAGCTTCATCGACGACTTCCTGGCGCTCACCTACTCGCCCAACAGCTCTCAGCAGGACAATATCTCCGGCACTGTCCTCTACCTCCGAATCCTGGGGTCCGTACATGACGAGATTGCTGATATGCTGCTGAGCCGGAACAGCAACGACGCCAAACGCAACACCGATCTCAAGGACCAGCTCAGGGATCGTCACGTCCAGAAGATTGCTCAGTCGTGGAAGGATCTTCTGGTGCGCCACGCTGGTCAGAATGACCAGATCACCGAGACTATCATGAGGGTTATTGGCAAGTGGGTTAGCTGGATGGACATTGGTCTTGTCGTGAACCAGGAAATGCTCAACCTTATCCTTCCCGTTGTAGGAAGGAGTAACCCCGGCGGCACCGAGGACAAGGTCCGCGACGCAGCCATTGATGCTTTGACTGAAATTGTGGCGAAAAGAATGAAGGGTCCCGAGAAGATGGAGCTCCTTTCGTTCCTTAGCCTGCGGGACATTGTCGGCCAACTTGTCGCCAGCGCGCCCTTGAACGAACTGAAATCGACCCCCCAATACGATACTGATCTCGCCGAGGCTATCGCCAAATTGGTCAACACGGTCATGACTGATGTTGTCAGGGTTCTTGAAGACGGACAGGTCGATAGCCAGACCCGCAGCCGTGGCGAGCAACATCTCCACGATTTCCTGCCCTTCCTGCTCCGCTTCTTCTCGGACGAATACGACGAGATCTGCTCCACTGTCATCCCCTCGCTCACGGACCTTCTCACGCTTCTGCGCAAGGCCGGCACACTGCCGCAGAACTACTCTGAAATGTTGCCGCCCATTCTCAATGCCATTATCCGGAAGATGCGCTATGATGAAACCTCCAATTGGGGTGCTGAAGACGAGCAGACGGATGAGGCCGAGTTTCAAGAGCTTCGCAAGCGACTGCAAGTCCTGCAAAAGACCGTCGCCGCTGTTGACCAGAACCTCTACATTGACGTGCTGAGCAATCTTGTGGCTGAGACGTTCCAGACCCTGGACCAGCGAGGCGAGCAGATGGACTGGAGGGATCTCGACCTGGCTCTGCACGAGATGTATCTCTTTGGCGAGCTTGCCTTGCCGAACCAGGGGTTGAGCTCGAAGAACCAACCTTCCGGAGCCGCAGCTGAGAGGCTAACCATCATGATGAAGAAGATGGTTGAGTCCGGTACGTCAATATCATGTCGTCGGTGACAAGCCCACAGGCTAACTTGTCGTCCACAGGCATTGCTAGCTTCTCTCATCCTGCCATTGTGCTCCAGTATATGGAGATCTGCGTGCGATACTGGCAGATCTTTGATGCTCACCAGGAGTACATCCCGCGCGTGTTGGAGAACTTTGTTCAATTAGTTCATCACAGCCACGTCCGCATCAAAACACGATCGTGGTACCTGTTCCACCGCTTTGTCAAGTTTCTCCGAGCGCAGGTCGGCAATGTGGCTGAAACGATTATTCAGTCCATTGGCGATCTGCTCCCCATCAAGGCCGAAGTGACGGAAAATGACGCTGACGATGACATGTCGTCCGACGAGTCGGATCACTCGGCCGATGCTCTCTTTACGAGCCAGCTCTACCTGTTCGAGGCCATCGGATGCATCTCTTCGACGGCAGCCACTCCAGCAGACAAGCAGGCGCTGTATGCTCGCCTGGTGATGGACCCCTTGTTCACCAACATCGAGAATCACCTGCCCAAGGCCAAGTCTGGAGACGCCCAGGCCCTTCTTCAGATTCATCACGTTATCATGGCCCTTGGTACTCTAGCCCACGGCTTCTCTGACTGGGTTCCCGGTAGCACCGCGGCTCACCCTCGCCCGCCGCCCGACAAGCTTGTGTCTGCTGAGTTTTCTCGTGCGGCAGAAGCCATCTTGATTGCGCTTCGGGAGCTCAACAGCTCTGCCGAGATCCGCACTGCGTGTCGTTCCTCGTTCTCCAAGCTTCTAGGTGTTCTGGGCGCTGCCGTTCTGCCTCAGCTGCCCCAGTGGATTGAAGGGTTCCTCGGCCAGAGCTCTTCCAAGGACGAGATGGCCATGTTCCTGCGCCTTCTTGACCAGGTCGTGTTTGGTTTCAAGACGGAGATTTATGATGTTCTGAACATGCTGCTGACCCCGCTGCTGCAGCGAATCTTCACTGGCCTCTCAGAACCCATCAATGGCACCGATGACGAGATTCAACTCGGGGAACTGCGCAGGGAGTATCTGTCATTCCTCCAAATTATCATGAACAACAACCTCGAGTCCGTGTTTATCAGCGAGACGAACCAAGCTTTCTTCGAATCTATGATCACTTCCGTCATCTCCCTTGGCCGCACCATCGAGGGCAACCTGGGTCCGAGCCGCCTGGCCATTGGCGTGCTGACGCGCATGGTCGGCGTCTGGGGTGGTCCTGACATTGCCACAATCTCGGCCAATCCCACAGCGCCGACAGGCTCGCCGAACCCGACTATCCCCGGCTTCGACCGCTTCATGATTGAGCGCTTCCACCCGCTCTGCTGGGAGATACTCCGCGACCCGCAGTTCAAACCCGTGACGGACGCACAGAGCAAACAGGTCCTCACGGAGATTGCCGCACTGGAGCAGGTCATCTATACAAAGACTGGGGACATGTTTATCCAGAACCTGCAGTCTTCGCTGTTCCCCCACCTAGGTATCGATGGATCGGAGTTCTTGAGGGCCATGACGACGTCGACGGAGAAGAAGACGTTTGCCAACTACCTGCTGGCGTTATGGAAGAGTTGGAGGTGACCAGGGAGGAAAGCGTTAACAAAGCGTTGTAGGTACAGCAGGATGGGGTAACCTAGGATGGCGGAACTGGACGAGTCGTAGCTTGGATGAGCCAGACGACCAGGAAATATTCAAAGTCATCGCCACCGCGGAGGTACATTAGCTGGCTAGACTTTTTGGGGACGATCACGGACCACGGCGATAGAGTAGATACTGCCCTAGGCAATAACACAACGAAGAACAAAGAAGAAGAAGAAGAAGAAGAAGAAGAAAAGAGGGCAACCTTTTGCTATGGCCACTGCCGTGACCATGATCTTGCGGTATTAGATGCTCGCGTCAGGAGTTCTGTGAATCCGCCGCGAATACAAAGACGAGCATGCATAATCACGATACAAAGCAATGGTCGGTCGCCTCGAATACCTCGTTATCCAATTACATCCCCGACTCTAGATACTAGGTACCCCTTGGAGCAACGCCAGCTACGCATCAAGACCCGAGAAGTACCCCGTACCCGTCACCGGGGCGCGGTTCAACTTGAAGTGGCCGGGCTGCAGCCTCTGGAAGACGCCCGTTAGATCGTACGTGCTGGCAATGCTCTTCAGCCGGGCGGCGTTGGCGGCGCCGTAGCCCCTGATGACGTCCTGAAAGGCGCTCGCGTAGTTCATGTAGACGTAGTCGTTCTGCAGGCCGAGGGCCTTGGCCTCGGCCGTGATGCGCGCCAGCACGGTCGAGATCATGGCGTGGATGGCGGCGTCGCCGGCGGCATCCTGCCCCCCGCAGGCGACGTGGATGAGGTAGAGGGGCCCGTCGGCGGCGTCGAGGACCGAGCGGGTTGCCGCCGTTGGCGCGCATGCGGGCCATCTGGCCCGTCGTGATGGCCTGGAAGATCATGACGGGGTTGGCGCCGGCGACGGCTTCGGCGGCCGGGTACTCGTCGTAGAAAATGTCGCGGGCGAGGCGCGCGAGGCGCACGTCCGCCTTGACGGTGAGGCCGTAGTAGATCTCGCGCAGCCCCGACGGGTTGCTCGCCTCGTGGCCGTCGGTGTAGTCGGGCAGGAACTTGTTGCCGATCGAGTCGGCGATGGGCGCGATGGCGTTGAAGGCGTCAAAGATGGCGGCCGAGCCGCCGTCGGGCTTGGCGTACCAGAGCTCCGTGGCCGCCAGCTTGAGGCCGCTGTTCTTGAGCCAGGCGACCCAGAGGCCGGCGTTGGGGTCCTGCGGCGAGTCCGTCACCATGCCGGCGAAGGCGTCGACGACGGCGTCGAGGGCCGGCTCCATGAACGTCTTGGTGCCGCCCCACAGCTGGCCGCCCGGCAGCGGGATCGTCCGGAACGTGAAGTTGGTCACGATGCCGAGGTTGTTGCCGCCGCCGCGGAGCGCCCAGTACAGGTTCGGGTTCTGCTTCGGGCTCGCCGTGAGGATGATGCCCGTGGCGGTAACGACCTACGGGCAGGGTCAGATCAAGTTGGTCTCGTGTTGCAGAGTGGCAGCATCACGCGGTGGTTCATCTTGGGTGGTACATACTTCGTAGCTCTCAACATTGTCGCATGCCCAACCGTGAAGGTTGGAGAAGAATGAGATGCCGCCTTGGGGTCATGTTAATCATCTGTACGCTGAGCTTGCTGAAGCATCACACTCAACTCACCTCCGAGGGAAAGACCCCCAACGCCAACGCTAGACACGCGGCCGCCGGTAACGGTCACGTCTGATTTTGAAAGCTTCCGGTACACATCGGACCACCGGTTGCCCGCTCCGATGACCACCGTCTTCTTGTCACTTGAGAGCGTGACTTGGTTGATCTTCTCCAGCGACACGGTGATGCCCCCCTCAATGCTGGACGCGCCGGCAAAGGCAGCGTGGCCGCCACTCTTGACAGCAAAGGGGCATTGCGTGAGTCGCGACAGGAGGACGAGCACAGAGATTGCTGATGGGTTGGCCGGCTTGAAGATGCAGTAAGGGTCGACCTCGCCCTGATTCTCAGACCAATAGGCACCCGTGAAACTCTCGTAAGGAGCCTCGCCTCTGGAAAGGACAGAATCCCGTCCAAAGGTAACAGACAAGGAGAGGCACTGTTCTCTCGAGTGTCAGTTCCGAGCAGCACGAACGAAAAACAAGAACTGTCTGCAGGGGTAGGCAGCGAGGTAACGAACCGCAGCAGCACAAGGGAGAGTGGCGGAACGGCGCTCCACGAAGTTTGACAGCTCCGGAAGAGCACCGACGTTGACGCCGAGGTCCAGCAGTTGTTGGGTAACATTGAAGTCTGGAGACTCAAGGGCCTGGGCCGCGCCGCCAATGGCGCTCAAGGAGAGGCAAAGGATCAATCGAGTGGCAATCATGATGAAACACAGGGCTGCGATCCGGATGGAGGGTGGACAGAAGATCGAGACCACAAGGAAAGGGGTAGAGAAAGGAGAGAAGGAAGCGAGTGTCTTGTCAAGGGGGCCATGTTGGAATAGCAATGTCTTAAAGAGGCCGATGAGACACCTGAGGGAGCCATGCTCGCCACGCGAGGCATGTTCATGAGCGAACTATTGATGCTGCAGTTGAGCTTAACTGCATGAGACCACCAACCCATAATCCCGCCGGAGCCGACATGACAGTGAGCTCGGTTGTCAGTGCTGAGGAACACGCAGCGACGTTCGTGGGCTCCTCCGCCTCCAACCGGAGGAAATCAATCCTTGGCGACAGATGGAAGCACATGCTTGCTCTTCTAGGAGACCTCACTTCCTTCGAAACCTGACAGACTTGTTGGCTGCGGTCGAAAAAGTTGAGCCCACCTGCTGGGTTCAGGGTTCAGGGTTGAGCCCCCTTTCAGGGATCTAAGGATTTGCAAGGCCACGATTGGATTCGAAGAGGCGTCGGTTAGCAGTGGACGTGGGGAAGCAAGACGATCAACCCGGAGTCTCCTCGCCGGGAACCCTGTGCTGTGAAATGCTCCTGGGCCAGCCCTCCTTTGCGGGCATTGTTGGCCGTTCGCCCACACGAAAGCCCTACTTGTACTACTTCAATTTGGGTATCGCACGAACGGGCCGTTGCCGTCCTCCCCGACAGTAGCGCCATGGTGGCGAGACAATACGTGTTGGTCCGTTCCCTGGGGTCAAGTCCACAGAAGAAGCGAGATCAGCACAGCGTTCTGGACTCAATGGGAGACCGCTGAACGTGCGCCATAATTTAGTTGAACAGACCAGACAGCATCTCCAACGTTACGTGAGTACTCGTCTTTATTTTCTGGCATACGCAGTAGGGTATAGTAGTGTCGACGTTCTATCAGAGCACGGCAAAGCACGGGCGATGCCACACCAGGAACTGTGTTCGAGACTACATGTAGCTCCGACTGAGGTAGCGACTAACAACCTTGATGGTGGCGTCCCCGGCTCTTCTGTATTGTACACTATATAAGAAGGAATGTTAGAATAGCTACCCCTTCCAGTCTGTCGACATGTTGACAGACGGCCAAACGATTGCCTCTCAACATCTTGTCCGGATGCAAGCTGCTCGTGAGCCTCAATCCTACCATGTCTCGCTTGCCCCTCGTTGTAAAACACGCGTTGGCACCAGGATGGCTCCCAAACATGCCTACAGACCATGAACGTGCTCAGGGCGCTACATGGATACTGGGTGAATGTTCCTTGTCTAACAAACCAATGTCAGACTGTGATTAATCTACCAATTAGATTTGCATCCTTCCACATGGCAATGGCGAGCCGAGGGCCCAGTCCGTCGGACAGGGTCCCCGGCACATGCAGGTCGAAGGATGCAATGCATGAGGAGTGTGACGAGAACAACGGATGAGGCAATGTCACCGGCATTGTCCTTTGGCCAAGCCAACCAACAAACGACACAGTGTAGGACAGCCTAGACTCGACCCATGTCGTCCTGACATGCAGCCCACGGAAGGTAAGAGATATCGCCGTTGAGAAATCATACCCCCGAGGTCTTCCCTGCGGGCCGCACTCATGCCATACAATATGAACTGAAGGTTGGTCCTTCTCGTCCTAATACTTTGGAATCCAATACTTGCCCAGAGTCCCGGCTGCGGTCGTCAGAGGCAAAGCGAACATCATGTCTTCGAATACGCTGGACAATACGGCGCTTCTAGCAACCGGCATCTGTATGGTCATCCTGACCAGTGCAGTCTTTGGCTTCAGACTGGCAATCAGCCTGCTCGAGCGCAGGCAGCTCGCTTGGGAGGATGGCTTCCTCAGTGCGGCGTACATTGTATTCTTGGTGATTTCCATTCTTTACATGTTGGCAGGGCCGACGATATTCAGGCTCGAGGACCTCGCTGCTGGCAGGATACCGATGTACCCGACAATCATGGACGACAGTCTGAGGATCCAGAAGACCTTCTTCGTCACCACTTCTGGTCTCTGGATCAGCCTGTGGCTCGTCAAAGCATCCCTCCTCGCGGTCTACAAGAGGCTGATGGTCAACCTACGCCTGTTCACCATCCTCTGGTGGGTGACTGTTGGGATTTGTATTTTGGTATGGAGCCCCTGACTCAACACCGTGCTCCGCCCGACAGAAGAGAGGTACTGACGTTCGTGATACAGACTCTGGCAGGCGCCATCACTTCGTCGATGCTGTCTTGCTCCAGTATGAAGGCTTGGTTCACAGCAGGAGCGTGCGGTACGCAGCGCGACATTGAGGCGGCGTATATCAGTCTTTGGTACTCGTATGCTGTGGACATTTTCACAGACATCCTTGGTGAGAAAACTTTGCGGAAAAAAGTCCAATAAACGTAGCCCCCTCTCTCTGTCTAACGCCAGCGTGTAGTTATGCTTCTGCCCCTTGGCCTCATTCGCAACCTCCAGATGAAGATGTCTCGCAAGCTGAGCATTGCGGGCTTGTTCTGCCTCGGCTGGGTCTGCGTCGCCGTATCGACCATCCGCGTCGCTTACCTCGGGCGCAACGCAGTCGAGGGCTCGTCATTCAAGCAGCCCGCAACTTCGTGGCTCGCGCTGTGGGGGATCGTTGAGTCGGCAATTGGTACGCACCCCCGTGATGACCCTCTTCTTCCCTCCTTGACGTCTTTCATGCTGACGAGTTGATTTCGCATCACAGCCGTCATCATCGGCTGCGGGCCTGGCCTGTTCCGCAAAGCCAAAGCAATCTCGAAGAGCAGAAACAACTACTACAACATGGGGGTCCCAGGCAGCTCCAAGCCAAAGTCCAAGTCTGCCCATGGAAACGACATGGACATGCAAGCGTATCGAAATACTGTTCAGATAAACAATGACACTAGCAGTCAAGAGGAACTGGTCAACATGAGGGGTAGGGATAAGATCGTGGTAACACAGTCTGTCATGGTCAGCTCGAGTCGGGGGGACTGAATACGACTCGTTCTGGTCGCACGATTGCTGAATGGACATCGGACTGTACAATGCAGCATGATGTCGGAGAACTATTAGCCATGATTTTGTATCGCCGACACTGAGCATATCCGATGGCCGATCCTTTGAGAACCCCGTTCGCACTTCTAGGTGCGTTAAAGGCTTGGGAGGAGCCAACTACGCATCTATCGGCAACTATTTCCGGGCCCGTGTCAGTGCTGCCTGACTGAGGCATGGGTCACAGGTCAATGTATCAAGGAGCCGGTGCCATGGACGCATTAGCTGCAGCTGATGTGCCAATCGCCATGCATCCAGTCGTGTTCGGCGTGTCCGATTCGCAGGTGGGTTGAATGCCCAGCCTGAACAGCAGTCATCAGGCTGCAGGATCTCATACTGTTGGGTTGCTTTGAGGCCATCCACGTGGCAACGAAACCCCATCCATGTCGAGCTGCTCCGAGGATTGATACATAGCAAGAGAGACATTGTGACCGAAAACCCCAGCATAAGATGTCTGTTCCTTTGTATTCCTCGTAGCTTTTCTGAAGAAGAAAAAAGTCAACTTGAGATCAACACTTCGGGATACCTCTTCAAGCAATGGCAGAACCGTCAACTAGCATCACCGACCTTGCGCCCATAGTAACAGAGCATCTACGGTATTTCCAAAGTACCATCAGCGGCCTCGAGAAGCGCGATCCGAAAACCGCCACCATCCTCCGAGACCTGGAGGCCGCCGTCCGTGCCGCCAACACCACGCAGCGCATCTTGCGGGAGACCAAGCTCCCCCACGATGAGCAGCTGTGCACGCTCCACGCTACTTGCGCCGAACTCATTGACAACGTCGGGCGCCAGCTGAGGCTCATTCGGAAACGGGTGTTCTGCTGCGCCGTCGTCGCCGAAAAGTACCCCCTGTACCTCGCCAAACTGCGGAAAGACCGCCCGCTGGACAAGATGCGGGCTGATCTCAGGGAGTGCGAGGACAAGATCGTGGCTCGGCTGACAGTACTGCTGGCCGAGGCAAGGAATGATGCGCCGACTACACGACAACCGGCGGAAGTAGGCTATGCTCGACGGCGTCTCCGGCATCACGATTCGACCGAGTCCATCCGCAGCTTGGAAGCAAAGATTGAAGGTCTAGAATCAGTGATGCGGAATGAAGCAAGTTCCGATGGAAATCTTGTGGAGGACCAGCCTGTGGGCAAGACAAGGTCCGGGGTGACATCGAGGTGGTCTCTTCTCTGGCTGTGGCCGCAGAAGGCCACGGAACAGAATGAACCAGCGAACATGGTGCAGGATGAAAAGGAGCGAGACGAAGACAGCAGCGCCTGCTCTTTGCGGCCTTCGTCGGAGCCATCTCTATCGAGTACCGCCAAGAGGACTCTGCCCGCGGCTACACATTGGACGTGACATGGTTTCGCCTGTCTTCGGGTCGGTTGGCGAGGCATCAGCGACGCCACTGGGTTATCATCACACTATCGGTATTGACCGCCCCAAATCATCGTCTTTCATTTGCATGTCGTTCTTTTGGTAGCTCAATGTGCATGTTCGCATTTTGGCACCGGCGTCCCTCCCATCTTGGCGCTCAGTAGAAGCACAATCTGGCTAAAACCCAAGATGGCTCGCCATGACCCAACAGTCTTACTACATGCACAGTTCACCAAAAGAATGTCCAAACTAAAACGCTCGTGTATGTACGTCGGGCCCGACTGGTGTTATTCAGAATTTTGTACGTGAAGCAAGATATAGACAGAACATAAAGATCCCCATCACGGGACCCTCCCCCCCCATAAGAAGATCGCTTCAGCAACGTCCAACCCCCCAATTTTGCCCTCCGCCCGCTCGCCGCTCAGCAGATGTTGCGGGCCCCGTTGCCGGAGAGGTTCCAGGTGGTGTTGTCGCCGCAGGGCGACTCGCGGACCGAGGTGTTGTCGACGCGCAGGGTGATGGAGATGTCGCGGTTGTTGGCAAACTCGGTGCGGGCCGCGAGGCGGACCTCGCCGCCGCCGTTGACGGTGCCGCCGCGGATCTGGACGTTGTAGCAGTTCTCAATGAGGATGGCGTTGTTGCCGTTGTCGGCGAGGTCGACGTTGCCAATGGTGGCGCCGCCCGACTCGGAGACGCAGAAGACGCCGCGGCCGCCGCCGCGCGAGATGACGCGGTCGACGTTGATGTTGCCGGTGGGGTACTGGCCGGCCGAGTTGCGGCCGTTGCGGTTGGCGAAGCGCAGCGTGCCGTAGCCGGTGCCGGTGCCGACGTTGTTGCCGTCGACGAGGCCGACCTGCGCGTTGGTCGTCGCCTGGATCAGGAGGCCGGCCTCGCCGCAGTTGCGCGCGATGACCTGGTTGATGTTGAGGCCGTTGATGTTCCACGTCTCGACGGCGTGGCTGCTGGCGCCCGTCACGCTGATGACGTCCATGCGCACGTCGCTGTTGGCCGCCTGGTCGCGGTCGAACCGGATGCCGAGGCCGGCGCTCAGGTTCATGGTGATGCGGCCGAGGCGGAGGCCGCTGGTGCCGTAGAAGCGGAGACCAAAGTAGGGGCTGCCGGTCATGGTGAGGTAGGGGATCTGCACATTGTTCGTGTTGACCGACTCAATGGCGCCACGGCCGCTGCGGTTCGCGACGTTGATGGTACCGCAGCCCTCGAAGATCTTGCCGCTGCCGATGGAGATGGTGCTGGCGCCGATGCTGCCCGAGGCGATGACGGAGACGCGCTGGCCCGAGCTGATCGAGTCGACGGCGGCCTGGATGGCCGCGCGGTAGTCGGTGCCCGTGTAGACGGTGGAGCTGCCACGGGTGGCCGTGAAGGTGCTGCCCGAGCTGGTGACCCGGGCGTCAGGGGTGCCGGAGCCGCACTGAGCCGAGACGGCCGAGGCCAGAGCAAAGAGGCTCGTAAGGATGGAGAACTTGACCATGTCTGCGTCTCTGGTGGGGTGGGGAGAAAGAGAAAAGAGGAGGAGAAGGTGGAGGAGGGTGGTGACAAGGTTCCTGCGTGATGCCAAAGAGGTGGGCAAAGTCGAGCGTCTTATATCGTCCTTCGCGAGTTGAGGTCCTTCTATTACCCACGACTGCCGGGCCTGTCGGAGGTAGATCAGTTTTACCCAGAAAAAAAGAGGAGCAGCAATCATCCACGTAGGATCCCGAATCCCAGCGTCCCCATGGCCGCGCCGAGCAGACAGACAACCTCCGGCCCCTTCTAACCCGTGGCGAACATGCGCTGGACCGTCTTGAGCTGCCATGGCCTCCCGCATGACCGGGGTGGGCAGGGGGCCATGCCGGACCAGGGGGGGGGGGGGAGAGGGACACTATACTGAATGAAACCTCCATCGGCGAAAATAACGGGATTGAGCCGCGGGTTTGTGTTAGTCTGAAAGCTGGGGACCTTCTCAGCCCGCTGTTGGTTCCGCTCGCTCTCCTGTCCCTATTCAGACCATTCCACGCCTTCTTGGCCCAGCGGTAAGGTATGGGATTTGAGATGGGTCAAGGGGGTTTTGCAGGCACACAAAACACCAGGAGATTAGAGGAGGCGAGATGTCGGCACCGCAAATCTCACAAGGCCGGATGGCAACCAGGTGTGGCGACTACATTATGCTTAACACTCCGAGCTCGAGGACGAGCAGGGGGGGGACCTTGTCGTGCCAGGGAATGTTTGTTTCGCCAGGTGCCTGAATCAGCGCAGTTGACACCTGACTCCCGTGTATACGATATATGATTGAGTTCAGTCTAGCTTCCCCCTCCCTCACTCGAGTTGGGAGGAGTTGTGGTGACAGTTGACAAGAACAGCGTCAACTTGGGCCGAGGAGAGCTCCACGTCAGCCATTCTCCCCCACAAGGCTTGGCAGAAGCTTTCGTTTCTCTCCTCAAATCACGATGCCAATGCATGCACATTGGTGATAGTCTGGACGCTTCCCCACACATCAATTACCGAGCACCCCGCGGCTTCTACTAGGCGCTGCCCCAGCCACCGTTCTCCCCCTCAACTCAACCTTTCTGTCTTTGTCCCTCTCCTCGTACATGGTACAAGTACTCCATCAACCTCGGGCGGCACAGATTGCGGGGAAAGTCCGGGGCACACCGTCCCAATTGGTAAAATGGAGCAGGAAGAAGCAAAGCGGCCAAGGACGAGAAGGGGGCCATCATCTACGTCGCACGCCAAGCTGCCCCTGGCCCGGTAGTTACAAACGTCGTCCAGTCACAGCCAGCCATGCTGATGCTGGCGGCGCAGGTCCACGTTTTGGCCAGAGACTCTGGTCGGAGCGCTGGCCCCCGTCGTAAATGGCCGGCCGCCGTCGATTCGTGCACATTCATTGCGCCTTATTAGCGCACCAATTCAGACCGTTTTGGTCCGTCTGCGCTCCTGTTGTGTGACGTTATGCCCGGGGGGTGGATTGGGGCACGCAGCTCGTTGCCTCGTCGAGTACTCATACCCGTTGTGGTCATCGACCCCCTGCCGTTGCGCCTTGGGGGCCAACAATGTCCGCCACGATCGGCGAACGGCCCCCCGGACCTTGCCATGTTTTCATCTGATCATTTGGTTCGTTCGCCGTGGCTTGCTTCTTGGCTTCAACATTGTCTGATGAGCTGCCTTCGTTCGTTCGTTCGCGCGTTCTTCCTTATTATCCTGTCCAACCAAGTCTTCCGCGGTGAAGCATTCGGTGCGAAAAGGGAACACAGGCGTCAGCCACACTCTCATCCACGCTGCGAGTCCCCCGAAATTCCCACCACTAACAAACGGCTCGATCATCTTGCCCATCACGTTGACGATCTCGTTACCTCCCTTCGACACCCCCTCCTTCGCTCGCAGAATCGGTCCAAATACGTCCGAACCGTGCCGGAGTGGCTGGCCCGGTCGTCCTTTATGACGCTATCGTGTCCCTGGTGCACCATCGGCCAACCCCTCAACGCCACACCCAGACAGGTACGCACAGCATGCGCAGTACGGGTTCCTAACACACGCGTACCCCGCAAACTTCAACCCCCTTGCCCTCGATGCGTACTTCGCGATCAAAGTACAGTGCCGCTAGCTCGCGGACAAAGTGGGCGTCGTGACCGTTCCAAACATCGAGGCCCATGCTCTCCACGGCGTGACTGCCGAGCTGGACTGGGCCGAGCTCTTCCCTGCCAGTCACGCCCCGCTGGAGCGGACTGCTTTCCTCGCTTTCGTCAACCGCGGCATCTGTGTCTTCGTCCTCGTCATCCTCGTAGCGCTCCTGCTCCGAGTTGTCCACGGCGTCTGCCATGACTGACAGCATCTGTGTCGTGAGGCGGTGAAAGTAGGCTATGATGGCTAGCTCCGTCCTGGCTTCGTCGTCATCGGTCGACAGCGTAGCTCGACGTCCGGCCAGGGAATTGACCGAGTCACCCATACCGCCGCTCAGCCTTCGGCCTGATGATGGCGCCGACATGCTCGGCGTCGAAGGGCCCAGATCTGCCAGTAGAGACGCATCCAGTGCTGCCTCCTCCTGTTCGTCGCTGCGACCCTGCTCACCTGCGCTTGCCCACCAGAGGAAGCCACTATAGGCAAGCGCCGTCCAACTGATTGGCTCGACAATCTTATCGAGCGCCTCGTCCGAATCGACGCCTGTGCTGGGAAAGGCACCCGTCGTGAGATGGATGCCTGGCGTGTGTTCTGCGGGGGGGCTCTCAGCGGCGGGACGGGGCCCCGGCGTTGTCGTCTTCAGGCGAGAAAGCCCACCCTTGAGGGCACGGAACCGACGGAGATCACGCTGGGTCGCCCGAACCGGAACACCCTGGGGACATTCCACTGTCGGCCAGACCCTTTCCTTTGCATTGGGCGCATACGGGGGTGGCATGGTAATCAGCATGTCCCACAGCGTATCCTTCATGGCCAGGATGCTATCGGTCGTGCAAGCAACCCAGCCAGTACCCGCTTCGTTAGCCACATTGTCGTCCGTTTTCGTCCTCGGGCGCTTGGAGGCTTCGAAATCTTCTTGCAAGAAATTGATGTCGTGGACGCCGATGGAGAAGAGCGGTCGCAAACGCTGCGACGGGGAGTCTGAACCTAAGATCTCCGTGACGGAGAGGGGTATGTTGGAGAGGACTGAGATGTTATATACTGCACACGGTCAGCATTCTCTCGGCCGCTTCTCTTGCGCCCGCGCCAGGAAACCAACCAAAATTACACATCTCATGCACCGGCGCGTGGCATGAGAGCAAGATGCGTTTCCGCACGAGGGCTGCCCGGTGGATGGGGAAGATGAAGGGGCCC